ATTTGCATCAGTGCAGTCCAAATGCAGGTGGTGAATCCATTCTGTCTCCAATCTGGAAATGACCCAAAAATGTTTTTGACATCACTTTCAGAAGCAAAGCAATTCAGAAAAAGATTTATACTTCCCGCTCCCAATCACTCTCAACCAGAGTTGAAGAGGGTGCTTCTAAAGTTTAGTTATGCACGTTATTGAAAAGCTTTGTGTGTAACTACTGGAGAACTTTTAAGGGCTGAGTGGAACCTAAATCAATTTGCACCACTTTAATATTGCAGCAATGTGAATCAATGTGACTCCAAAACCACCTTCTCAAGGTGGTTTCTGTAACTGGGCTCCAGTATAATTTGCTCAACCCCAATTTATATAGCCTTTTTTCATGGTAGTTCACTGCGATTTTCACTGTGAATCATGAAGAGTGCAGAATATACTGGGCATTAAATATTCATCAAACTGTCCCATTTAGTTTCACCTAGTGTGAGACTAAGCTCTTTGCTAGAAGAGGAGAAAACAAAATCCTAGGTCTTTGTGGTGTGATATAGAATAACTGTAATGCTTATAGAGGGTTTCCATTGTGTTCAGACCACCATCACAGAAACAGTCTTGCAGGAACAATCCACCGCCATTTAATTTTAAAATTTATTTTTCAATAAAAATACATATCAAATGAGTCAGAATTTTTTTATACAACTTTATTGTCATTCATCACCATTGGGTGGGAAAATACTCCATTACCAAGAGGAAATGCCCTCTTTTAAACTTTTACAATGCGTCAGTCCATTTCCTCTCCAGTGCATAATATAACTTTGGCATCTGAATATGAACATTAACTCAGAGATTGCCAAGACCTGCAATCATTTGCCATTGTCCAAATCGTTGCCAGTGAATGAAAGACATTTGATTGCTAGTTAATTTCAAATGGTGAATAACAAATAAGGTCCACCAAACTGCTGGAATAATATAGGCAGTTTTGCAAAGTCCAGATTACAGATTTATTTTTGATACCAGGTGGCATAACAATAGGTGCATTTGTAACAAGCAGATATCTCATGAAGTTGGCTTTGGTCTTTGCAAGCAGCACAGACATATTTGGAGGAATGCTATTGAGATGCCAACAAATTTCCTATAGCCCGGGAATCTAGTTCGGCAAATATTGTACACAACCGTTTGTTGGCATGGGACAGATTTCCAGAGGTTGAATCCCTAAAAAAGGGATTCAACAGGGAGAGGTGGTGAATGAAGCTTCATGTCATGGCTGGCATACTGTGTCAGCATTTTGAATTGATCCAGAATGTTGAGTTGCAGCTGCAGCAGCTGTTGTGTCCCTGGCACAAACATGGCTTAAGCACTGGCAACTCTTTGATTGTTCCATTCCTAATCTTGTAGAGAGCTGACAGCATGGCCACATTTCTCCATTGATATATAAGGTGGAGTTGGTACAGAGCAAGCCACCCTCATTAGGTTAGTTGGTCTGCATAGCTTTGAACAATACTGAATCTAGAAGCGAACGATCGAGAGTCTAAATCTAAAAGCACAAATTAGGTTGTTGCTACACCTTACCAAACAAGTCTCAATATTACATCAGTGGTAGAGTATGTAATTTGTTGCTTACTTACAAGTTATGATGGCTTTATTAAAGATTCCCATTATTCCCCTTTCTATCACTTTTGTTATAAATCGTATATAATTACAACAATAATTTGTACATCACTTTTCATGTCAGATGGACATCTTAAAGCCCTTCGCACACTGATCAGGAGCCTAAACTAGGGAGAGAAGCTGAGGGGGAGAAAGTGGGGGTGGGTGGGGGTGGAGGGGGAGAAGGAAGTTGACTAAAAGCATGGTCAAAAAGATAGGCCTCAAGACCATGGCAATGACAAAATGTTTGCATTCGAAAAGACTTTAGAAAGCAACCATCGGTTGGCTTATAACTGAACAAACTGCTTTTTCGGCCTTGAAAAAACATCTCCAATGGGCATAAAACATGTTCAATTGAATAGAGAAAGTAAACTTGTAACAATATTTCCGAATATCCAAGTGGAGAGTGAGAGTTGCAGGTGAGTAGTCAGCAAAATAATAATAATCCTTGCATTTGATATAGCATCTTATCATGTCATTGAGACATCTCAAAGCGCTTCACAGAATATAATGTAATGTGTAGTGACTGTATTGTTAGTGTAATAATAATAATAATCCTTGCATTTGATATTGCGCTTTTCATGTCTTCTCGACGTCTCAAAGTGTTTCGCAGAATATACTGTAAAGTGAATTGACTGTATATTTTGTGTGCGAAACACAGCAGCCAATTGCACACAGCAGTGACCCACAAACAGTCATGGATTGCAGTGACCAAATTATTATTGTTTTTTTTTCTTGAGGCATTATTATCAGGCGTGTGGATTAAGGAAACTTGCCCAAGCTTTCACCCTGCCGGGAATTGAACCCAGGTTTCTCGCTAGCGTAGTGACTATTCTCCTGGCGGTGGGGATGGCGGGGTTAGTTTAGGGATGTCTCTCTGCAGCTGAGTTGGCTCCACGCTTGGCAACAGAATGTGTGAATCGAGCCAGTCCGGATCCTTGGCGTCTTGTTTGACCCTCAACTGTTCTTTCTACCCTAAATCCGTGTCATGACCCACTCGGCCTTTCCCCACCTCCGCAACATCACCTGGCTCCGCCACTGCCTCCCCACTCAGGCCACCGAAACCCTCATCCATGCATCAATCACATCTAGGCACAACTACGCCAACTTCCTGTGTGTCAGCCTTCTCAACTCTTCCCTCCATAAGCTGCAGATCATCTGGAACTCTGCAGCTTATGTCCTCTCCCACACCAGGTTCCATGACCTTATCACCTCCACCTCGCCCGGGTCCACTGGCTCCCCATCCCCCAGAGGACAGAGTTCAAAATCGTCGTCCTGGCCTTCAATGCCCTCTACAACCTTGCTCCTTCCTACCTCTGCAACCTGCTCACCCCATATCAACCCATCTCCTCCCTCCACTCAGCAGGCTGTGGCCTGCATGACATCCCCCGCCCGCTCCGCTCCACCATTGGCGGTCGAGCCTTCAGTTTTTCTGGTCCCACCCTGTGGAACTCCATCCCACATTCACTTTGCCTCACTTCCTCCCTTGCCTCCTTCAAAGCACATCTCGAAACTATCCTCTTCGACCATGCCTTCGGTCACCCTCCTACCCTCCCTGCCCTCCACAATCCCTGATCCCGACCCCCAGCTCGGGTCCAAATCCCTGACTGTCCAGCATCTTGGGATGTCCTCCTGACTTGAAAGGTGCTATACAAATGTAATTTTGCATTGTATTGTAATTCTCTGTGGCACACTCATTCAACAGGTTCCTGAGCCAGGTATGTCTGCAGTACCACAGGGCATTTCTGATGATAGACAAGGTAGTCTGCCTCATTGTCAGAACTTGGAGGGGCAAACACTGGGGACAGGGATTCTTTCCACTCAATTCCTATTCATCATTCCAGCCAAAGCCTTAACTGGTACAGTGATCCTAACTTAGCAAGCAAAGGGAAGCTTGCCAGACAGTGCTCTCAATGGCAATCTATTAGCTGGTTAAACTCCCAACAGCCGTGGAACACACATTCTGGGGTTCTTAAGCCTTGGCTCTTGCCAACCTGTGCCAAATACTCTCCAAAATTAGGTAAGTAGGATGCATTCCTCCAAGGAGACTGTGGATTCCATTTCATACCAGATACAGGGAAATTTCCTTGTGTAGATGACATACATATGTGGAACTCTCAGTCTCATTTGGATACTCTTAAGCGTGATGGGTTTCCGCATGTGTCAAGACACCCATCTGACCAAAAAACAGTTAGGAGAATAGTTGCAAAAAAATGTTTTCTGTTTACACTGGAACCGAGATAGGTTAAGAAGAGATCTCATCGAGGTCTTCAAAATTCTGAAAATTGTGAGGAAATACAATGGAAAATTGCACTGGTTGGCAAATCAGAATCTGCAGATCAGGTTTGACACCGTTGAGCATTAAGAGAAACTTTTTCACAGAGAAGGCTGTCAGAAGGTGGAAACGCTTTGCCCCAGCAGCTAGTGAAGCTGACATGGTAACACTGTTTAAAAGGGATTGGGATAAGCATTTGAAGGGAGGGGACAATGTGAGAGGGTATGGGGAGGAAACACGGAATTGGAATTAGAGAGGAAAGGGAAGGAGTTGGCACCAGGATAGGCTCAATTGCAAAAGCTTCAGTTGTTGATTTTTTTTATATGATTAGGTCTTCCCCTTTAAAGCTCCATTCACATGCCCCCTAATACTGGCCAACGTGTGGCTGACGTAGGGACCACAGAGCTAATGCGGCAAGTCTCTCGCGTGGCCGCTGGGAGTTGGAGTCTGCCCGATGCGGCTTTGAAGTTGCCCCAAACAGAAGGCGGCTGCGCGTCACAACTACAGCTCCCACAATGCCGCAGCGCTTACCCGGACCGGAAGCGACGCAGCGCCCTGTCGCCCTCGGACCAGCTCTCTCCCCTTCGCCATATTTGTTTGAGGGAGAGGGGGGAAAATGACAGGGCGAGCGGTCGGCCTGAAGAAGAGCAGAATGAGAACCTGAAAAGCCGACTTCCCGGATTATGAAAGGAAACGCACGGACTTCTGATTCTGCGGACCTTTAGAGAGTGGCTCGGAGCCGTCTTCATTTTTTTTTCGCCGCCGCCGCCGCCTCCTCTCGGCTCACGGCGGCAGCAGCAAGTTTACTCGGCGTCCGGTCTGCGCGCAGTTTCTCTGAACTTGACGCCGGGGGTCTCGGCCTCTCATTGCCGCAGCTCTCGCCTTCGTTTGCCTCCCCCGCCCCCCCTCTCGGAAGACGTGACATTCTCTTTGGTCTGCGCCGTGAGAGCCCTGATACCCCCCCCCCCCCCCCCCCGGGTTCTGTGTGTTTTATTTTGAGGAGAAGAGGGGGAAAAAAATCTTCCGTGCAGTTTTTTCTATTATTTTCACATCCCCCCCCGTCCCCCCTCTCCTCTCCTCTCTCTGGATTCAATTGCACTCTGCTGTCTTGAAGGAGTTGGGGAATAAGCTGAGAGGCGAAGGACTTGTCTGGCTGATCGATAGACGGATCCAGTTTAAAAGATGTCCAGCAGTATACCGGCAGACATGGTAAGAGGCAATCAATCCTACACGTTCTGTATTATCCTTCAGTGTCTGTCCTCTCTGCACTATTGATTGCATCTTTCCATCCTCGATGCTGGAAGCAATATTACACCTTGCAACCCCCGGTGGCTGCCCCGATACTAACGAAGATCTCCGATGTCTGTTAGGATTTGGGAGCCCCGAGAGATGAATGTAATGGTGGCGATTAAATCCCCAAAGAGAACTTTTTTTTCCCAAAAAAAAATCTGTCTTCGGATACGATCATCAAATTCATCAGAAACTTTTTTTGGTGTTGGCAACGTAGAGAGCCGATTAAAATATGTTAAAGATTTATATTTATTAAAAGCGGGTCTTTCATTCCTGAGGGTACATTCCATTTAAGTATCACAATCCGACATGGGATACGAATCCAGTTATTCCCATTAACGAGGGAGACGGAAGATTAGTTCGATGTGACTTTAGGTAATGTAGTTTCAAATGTTATCGAATGATAGCCAGTGGGGGGTTGTATGTGTGTTTTGCCCCTCATCCCTTCCATCGGTTGAGGAAGTCGTGCATTTTTAGTCTTTGGGGGATCAGGGTGGCTCCAACTTTGTATGTTTGGTGAAGGCAGTGTCGGAAGTAAAATGCAGCAAAACCGGTTTGCTTGCAGTTATGTCACTGTATCTCACGGTTTTTTATTCACCGATGGTGTTGTTGTTGGTTATTCACCGTCTCTTCCCCTTTTTCCCAACCACGTTTCTGAGTGACCAATAAATGTGAATTGCGTACACTAAATGAAACTGCCCTCTCATTGCCTTCTTTTCATAACAATAATAGGCCATAGATTAAACGCTGAAGATTTCAGAAAATGCTTGCGTTTTGCTTGAACAGTATTTTGGTCAGTGTGTGTTTCTCTTAACTGTCAGCCATTGACGGAAAATGGATTCATTGCTGAGAGTTGTCTGAAAAACATCAATTACTGCAAGACTATTTTGAAGCCATCTCTGATGGTACATGGATTCAGACATTAAAAGTAAAGATAATGTTAGAAGCATTATTTGCACCTAAAAGGATTTAGAAAGCTGCATTATACGCATTTTTCAAAAAAAAATCTGGTGGCAAGTATTATAGCTGGTATACAGCTCCTTTTCTAAAAAGATCGTCGTCTTCTCATTTTCCCCCCTCAAAATCAAATTGGTTTGGATAGTTTGGAATAGTGTATTATCCAATTAAGCAACATATTATGAGGAATGTTTTGCTGCTAAAACATGTTTTGAGGTTTAAAATTAGAGTAAATCTGTTTTTATAGAACAAATTTCCAGAAATTAATCCTGTACGTTAAACATTGAAATTATTCAAAATACAATTCAATATAATGATGCAGGAGTTAATGAAGAGAGAAATAAGAGCTTTGGTGAGCCAAACAGCCTTTTCTCAACTCAGACCTTTTCTTATAAACGTATCTTGTATTTTAAACTACAGCAACAACTTGCATTTATATAGCGCCCTCCACATTAGGCGGCATCCCATAACGCAGTATTGCACACATTTAAGCAGGTGTGGATTCCTAGGACATACTTGTTTGATATCATCTAATTTATTCAGAATTGGTAATTTTGTGTATTCTGTATTGTAATTTTTTTGCTGATAATGGATATTAATTAGCATATTGCAATTTGATGATGCTTTAATTAGCAGTTGAGATTTGCTCTAGAGCTTTTCTTAGGTATCCAATTTAAACTACACTCACCAATTTATTATTAATCCTTAGCAGTACACTAACAGGAATACATATTGCATACATAGTTACACAGAACATGAAAAGTCTTTCATGACAGCAATAGCAACAATAGCCTTTAACAAGTTATATTTCAGAAGTACAAAAGTAAAACCTTGCTAGTATTTTCTTTTTGACAATGGTTTTGGGATGAGGTAAATTGTATTACTGTATGCATTCCCATGTCTTGATCTTAGTATTTCATACTACTTTTTCTTCAATTAAAAATAATTGCAAACCTTTTCTAGTTTGTATAATATAATGAAACAATGTTTAGTAAAAGAACCAGAAAGTGGCTTTTTTTTATTTGTTTCTATTTTCAGAAGAAATTAAATTATGCAAACTCCAAATCCGTTACCAAGGTTGCAGAAAACTTAGGGGTAAATTTGAACTCAGCAGGATACCAGAAAGTAGAGTCTTGCACAGACAAGAATAAATATGTAGCACCTTGAAAATTAATCAGATAAGACTGTCACTTTTACTTTTACAATGAATTTGTTCTTTAACCACTCATTGTAGATGAAAATTTCTGGGGGGTGATGACTGAAAGGGTAATTAATAGTTTACATTTTTGAAGTGAATACAGTACAATTGATATAATTTGAAAACTAGGATTCCATATTAAGCAGCATCCTAATGAAGTACAATTTTATCTTGCAGACACAGTGAGAATTCTTTTAAATGTGGGCATTGAGCTACTATTCAATGTAGTTTGAATATGGTTTTGAAAATATAGTAGGCACTTTATCATTGGTTATTCTAATGCAAGGTTAAGTAGTTTTCCTTTGTGCTTTCAGAAGCAGCAAGGTAAAGGGAATCCTCCCACTATGCTATGAGTATAGGTGTCCAGTGATGTAGCATTCACATCACTGAATTTTTTGAGCTTTGCCCCAATCTTCAGGAAGGGTCTGTCCGTCAAACCAATAATAAGAGCCACATTTGAGTTTGTGCCTGCAACAGTTAGTTGCCATTGGTACTAAGAAATTTACCCTATAGTGTAAATGCTTCTATGATTGTTTTTAATAGAAAACCAAACTTGTTGCCTCTGAATCCAAGCCAATCCAAATATCAATCTCTGGGTTATTTAAGGAACTCTTAGGTGCATTCATAAATGTGTCATTATATGGCTTTCTGGGAGCTACTGCATATTTCATAGTAGTGGACTTCCCTGGGATAAGCAGAATCAGATTGGGCCTAGACTTGAAGCTTCTGGCTCCTAGAAGTACAATATCTATCCCCATTAAACAAAATGGAGATGCTCTGGAACACAAGTAGATTGTTAGATTGTTAATTGCAGCAATTGTTAATACTTATAATTGGATTTCTCATTAAACTATATACACTTGCAAGAATATCAATTTCTAATGGCAGGCTGGGTACAATTTGACATTAAAGTACTCTTTCCCCAGACTATAATCCTAACCGATGGCTGGAAAGCATTCCAGGGTTATAATCTGTATGGTATTGTGAGGCATTGGTGTTCCTGATTTTGGGCTATGCCATCAATAATTGAGGTTAGGTGCTTCCTAGGATAACAAAATCTAACAGCATTATCTTGATTCAATTTCATGTAACTCATAATATCTAGATAAAGAGCGATAAACATCTTGGATAGGTGGTCTGATTGTTCTTTGGTTTGGGAATAGCCTAGAAACTGAGTGGGAAGGGAAGCATAAAATTATGAAACCTAAATAAGTTCTTCAGAAAATGTTATAAATCATGATGGAGAATCTTGACAGTTTTTTATTACATGTTCTTCTATTGCTTATTTTTTACACTTGCTTATTTTCCATTGGCACCATTTTATATAACGGTGTTTTCCTTTATTTTTAGACTAGATTGTTCCACTGGTAAATGAAATATATGGTCCCGTCTTGTGATGACTAATGCTTTTCTGTAAAACAATATACTATTTTACTGGGTTATAATGCTTCTGTGTACCGGCTAATCTCTTGAAACAAAGGCGCCTCATTTTAATTTTTGACATGGTTTAGTTTAGCTACCGAGTTAAATGCAGTCTTTTTCTTGTAGGTTTTTAAGCACGACTTTGAAAAGACTTGAGTAAACATGGAATTTTGAATGGAACTTTTGATTTAGCTTCATGAATTACATTCTATTTCTCAGCATAATCTTGTGTCATATTATGATTGATTTAAAGACGAACTTTTTAAAAAAAAGCCACATTTCTCTCCTCCTTTCTGATTCCTGTTGGGGTACATTTCACAGGTACGAGTTGCCCAGTGATATTTTATTTATGGGCTGTTTTTAATGGATCTATCTGGATGATGAATATCAGCAAGTCTTTTGACCATGGAGGAAATAATGGTGAAGTAATCCAATTCATGCAGGAACATGTTGCACCGTGATCAGTGATGAGAACTTTTTTTTGTCCTCCCATTGTGTGCTGAGACCAAATGTGTCTCTATTGAGGTCAAGTATCTCAGCACAAATTGGGATTCAAATCTAAGACATCCTGGTCTAAATAGTATTTTGGTGCCTTATCCCATTTAGCAATAAGGGCAAGCTCTATAATTACAAGAATAATACGATTCCCAATATTTTGCACTTCAATATATTTTTGCTCTGATCTAACCACCAACAAGAACAGCTGGTTCTTTTCCTCACTTGGAAAAGCACCTTGCCTTCAATCTGCACCAGCTTCAAATATAAGGAACAGATCCTGTTGCCTCATAATTCCATTATAGCCTTGTGATTTCAGTATTTTCAACTATTTTAAATATCTACTTAAACAGATTACTGAAATTCAAGCTATCTCTGCTCCATTCCACCCATGCCCCCACTCCCAATAAAAGTGTATGAACCTTCAGTCTGTTATATTAGTTTTTTTAAAAATCTGCAGAATATAAGTTTCTACTGCTTTTGACATGCTATCGATTTTTTGTGTTTTTACTCCACTGCTTTTGAGCCCCATCTAGTGGTATGGTTGAAAATGATCAAGTTCATCCTTTTGGCATTTCACTCAGAGGTTTGATTCACAGTTGCTTAAATTCACTCTTATACCCTAATGATATCTACCTTGTTCATGCATTAGTAGTTGAGCATCTCCACCTTTCTGATCGGACGCCAAACGGGGAAGAGCTCATGAGTTTTTGTGTGAGCTGCTAGGCTCTTATGTTGCCCTGTAACAGGGCCCAAGAAGTGCAAATACTTGCAACATTTTCCTTGCTCATTCACTGTGTGGAAAGTGGGCCTATCTTGTCCATTCTATGGGGTAATAATTAGTTTG